AAGTCTGCCTCATTCCTGTGCACTCCCAACCCAGAGTGAGACTTGAGTTGAGAGGAGATGCTTCTGGTTGATACTACAGATCAATGTTCACTCAAATTCTAATCCTTAGCACTCTATTTGAGGCATATGACACCACTGCATGCTGATCCTTCATTTGGGCACCTGTCTTCCTTCCCATTTATTTTCAATATTCAAGAGCAGCAGTTTATCTTTGGCTTCTACCAACCTGTCCAGGTCGTGCTGCTTCAAGAGTTCTTTCTACACAGCCTGTGGTAGCCTTGGCCTGCCTCTTCTACCCCTCAGTAACTGTTTCCATTAACTTAATTATCTGTGTTTCCATTTATAGGATCTTACCTCGGCATATGGCCTGCTGCCTCTGCCAATTTAATATAATATTGAATTGTCTGCAAGGACAGTCAAGCTGCATTGTGACAATGAATTCTGACAAACACCATACATTGTGGGAGTCTGTTGTTATATGAAAAATGTTTTAATTTTAATGTTCAGTTTTTAAGTAATGATCATACATTTTTATTTATTTATTTTTCTTATTCATATGTGCATACAAGGCTTGGGTCATTTCTAAATTTTTTAAACTAATAATGTAATTGCTTTAATTTTATTCATTTACCCAGAGTTAAACTCCCTCCATTTCTGAACTGCTTCAGTGCCCAATGTCAGGTTCTTAGTTATCACATAATTTATAATATAACTCTTCCATATGGGCAAGGACCTAGAAGAGGCAGGGATGATATTAATGGTCACACACTGTACTGTGCTCTCTGCTTGGTGCTTTGACATCCAGTGATCCCTTATCATATAGTGTCATGTAGTTTGTAAGTTCCTTTGTAAGTGTTAGTTACAAATCAGAGTGCTCTCTGATTTCTAGGGCAGGTGTAGGTGGGTTTGATAGTTTGTTTTATAATATTTTTATAAAAATATTATACGCAATGTTCTTTTATTTGGAGCCTGTGAGTTTCTAAATCTGTAACTAGCAATTGCTGCCTTGCTTTCCTGAGGAGTGAGGGCTCTTCACGCTTAGACTGTCCAACTCTGAACTCACTCTCAATCTCAGGCTTTCCTATCTATTCACAGATCCCTCGGGTGCTTTTAAGGCTTTCTCTGTGTATTGGGTCTCAACATTAGCACTGACTTCATGGCTCCCAAAATATCACTGCTTTGATATCCTGACAGCTTGGAAACAGGGCCCTACAGGTGAAGTGGGGCAAATAAATAGGAGTACTTTGTGACTTACGTGAACCCAGTGTTGCTTATTTTTCAAAACAATTTTTCACCAATAACATTCACTTCTCCCCCAGAGGTGGCAAAATACACTTTTTCATCTTCTTTTACAGTGAGGAATATAAGATCCCAGGTACCAAATAAATGCTTTAGCCCCATACCTGGGTCTTCTGCCTCCAGTTCTTGGCTCTCCAGGAGTCCACATTCTTCCTCTCTTGCCATCTTACCTCATTACCACCACTAATACTCTCAATTGTCCTGGAAAAAAAAAAAAGTCTACTTCACCATAGTCCATTTGACCTTCATGCAGTCAGAAACTTTGGATGGCTCCCAAGTTGGAAGTGTTAGAAATGAAATGAAAGCAGTGCAGACATTGGGCAAAAGTAGCATTTCCCTAAGGCACTTAGGATCTCAAGACATGTTTCCCCAGAAATTGCTGTTACTCTACAGATTCGTTGCACATTGCACTTAGACATACAGCTGGGCAAACTAAAAATTTCCTAACCTACATCCCGGCTCCCTGCCCAAATTTAAGGAAAGAGCCAGGAATGAGACAGTGTTTGTGTTTTTGTTTTTGTTTGGTGTAGAGCCTTCTTTTATGCAGGTTAGGCTACATGGGATCAGAGCCCAAGCAAAGGATGGGTAGGTGGAGGAGGACAGGGCCAGCTGAGGACTTTTTAGCAGAAAGAATGCTCCCTTCAGAGGATTGTCCTTCATCATGGTCCTCTGTGGATGGTAGCAAGAACACAGTATGGGGAAGGGAGGTTCAGAGAAGAAGCTTTGTTGTCCTCTGTTTCTGAAACAGGACAGTGTGGAGATTGTGAATGCGAAGAGAGTTTTGCTGAGCAGGAAAATTTGTCTTCAGTCTTGGTATTTTTTGAGTGTTGGGCAATTGACTGTCCTAAATAGAGTTCCTGTATCACACTATGGAATGTTCTGATGTAGGTTGCTTACTTTGTTAAAGGTGTTTTTTCTCTTTTTGTGCCATTGCATAGGTTTAAGTTTGGGCTTATTTTTCTCCCCCTTTAAATGTCACTCAAATATTTGCCTACCCCTTACTTTTGACTGTGATATGTGGCGATGAACTGATTAAAAAAAAAAACAAAACTGGCTACCAGTCTTCCCTTATCAACAGCAGTCTTTTTTTTTTTTTTTGGACAGTTGAAGAAGCATCTATAGGAAATACAGAAGGAAAATTCATGAAGGTGTTACAGACCCGGAGAGATAAAGCACCACAAGCACCGAGCTGGACTATTGAACCAGAAAGGGGATATGAGGACCAAATAGTGTCAGCTTTTCTGGCTTCATAAATGAGCAGCCAGCCTTTAATGATGAAATGATCTCATGTAGTGCACTAAATTACATATTGCCATTTTTTCTCGCAGGGAAATGGGAAGAGGCAGAATCAAATTGTTACCATTTCATTAAGCTGCTGTTTTCCAATGTGTTAAATGGAAATAATTCTCCTGATAATTTGAAAAAAATATAAGAAGACCCACTCTTAAGCCTTCTTCAAAAACAACTTAGCTTACAAAAATAAATTGAACAAGCTCTATTTTCTGGAAAATGTGTTAAGATGCAGAAATTCAGGAAAAAATTGATGAAGTTAAAGAGAAAGAAAAAGCAGCCATGTTATGCAGCCCAGCCTTTTAGGTCCCAAATCTAAACGCCAAATCTTTCAAAGGAAAATGGGACACTGCCCAACCAGAGGAAAACAGCCTGGCAGAGTCTGCCAGAAAAGGCTGCAGAGGGTGAACAGAGTCCTCAAGGGGCCAAAAGGCACAGAAAAGGCCCTTCAAGGAAGTGAGAAAACAGAGCATCTGGGAGAAGCAGAGTGCCCCACCTCTTGTGGAGACTATTGCTGCAAAAGGAGGATAAGAGACCACCCCTAAGGGAGCTGGAGCAGCTTCACATGGTCCAGGAGCCCAGGATATCAGAGGAGTTCACCTTCCAAACAGAGCCCTCACTCACAAAAGAACAGAAGGCAACGGTCTCTTCTCTCCTAATTCCATACTCAGTGTCCACCACTGCAAAACCACTCCCTGAGGTCAGAAATAAAGCAAAAGACTTAACCTACACCATGTTTGTTTTAGAAGATGCAAATGCTAGAGTTAGAAACATGCAGGCTTCTAAACCAAGCACAAATGACCAAAAAAATCACCTTCATCAAACAGGCTCTCATGTGCTCCATAGAATACCCAAATCCAGAAAGAAAAAGTCACACTTGAACGTGCTGCTTGCACACAGGCCTCCATTCTCTGCCGTGAGAAACCTCATAAGTTCCCCTTCACGAAGGTCCTTTTCATCTTTGCGAGACCTGATTCTCAGAACAACCCGTTTTCAGAATTAAATGTTTTTTTCAGAAACCTGTTATAGAGGACACGCCTATACAAAAGCAGACTGAAGGAAGTGCTCTTATGGCAAACACGGATGAGCCAGAAGATACTCTCTCTGAAGCCACAAACCAGGAAAATGCTGCTGATGCAGATTCCAGTGTGGGTGCATTTGATGAAATACCAACTGTGAAACAAACCAGTGAGATACAATGGGAATACCCCAGCATGGGCACTGACTCACCCACCAAAGATGTCCTTAGCACATTGGTACCCCTGGCTGATCATCTTCTATCGAAGCTAATCCAGCAGCTTCCGTCCCTCATCCCCAACAGTGATGTGAGAGCACTTCTTTCTCGTATGATTAGGACCTTGGGAATTGACTGCTCTGATCCTGATGTGCAGGCAGTCTGTTCTAAATTCATCCTCAGAACAGGCTACCTGATGAAAGTTCTCAGTACACAGCAAGAAGCCAGTACATCCAGAACTGACTGGGATACAGACCAGTGGAAAACAAAGGACTACCTCAGTGACAACACAGACGTTCAGAGTAAACAGAAGGGGCAGGAATCAAGTGAGGTGAGCAAATCATTTAGGATATGCCACTGAAGCAGGAAGACCAGTGGCTCTAGTCTAGTGCAAAGTTATGAAGCCAAGACAGTGTCTCCCACTTTGTTTCTTTGTTGAGTGAAGTGGGACCTAAAACAGATAAAAATTAATAGAAAAAAATGCAAATTAATGAGGCATGTAACACACTACATTTGGTGTGTTCTTTAATTCCCCTAAAGTACTCACCTGCTGGAATGGGATTTTAAATAGTTTTCATCCTTCCCATCTCTTTGTTATTTGACAAAAAAAATTTTTTTTTTAGTTTACAGAAGAAGTTCCAGGATCTGGTTATAACAACAAGGACATCTTGGCAGGATCTCTGGCCACAGTACTGATGATTTTGATTATAATTATCTGTATCATTGAGGTAAGGACCACAATTTGTTCAGGTTTCCAGAATATGTGTTGTCTTTGTAATAGACTCCAAACCCACAAACTGAAAACCAAAGGGATTTTCCCACTCTCTACAGAAAAGTAATTCTGTAATGGTGTACGTAGTCTTCTCTCTATGAAATAGTATTTCTCACTGTCAAGCCTGTGACATCAGTAAGATGACAGAGTCTAATTTGTATCTAGGAGTCAGGGACCGGCAGGTGTTAGTTTATGAAGACCTCCGGGAAGATGATCACTGGCCACTGCACAGGCAGTACCCTCTGCATCTCCCAGTGGCTATGGCCTTTCTTGAAATTTCTATAAACTCCTATACTGTTTTAATCTGTATGTACAGTTCAATCTGTATTTGTATTTATTTGTGTTTTCATTATTTCCTTTGCCTGCTTAAATAATAAGCTCTGAAAGGACAGGAAGCCTGCAGTGTTTTACCTGCCGTAGAAAGTAATGGCAGTCAAAGGAAGAGAGATAAGCATTGTGTCAACTCCACAATGAGGAATAACACAATGCAATATTTATTTCAAGTAGCATACAGCGTCCAGCAACAGACAGACGAGGTGTTCCCAAGGAGTGTGTGTGTCTGTGCTGGGAATTAAACCCAGGGCCTTGCACGTGCTAACCAGGTGCTACACTGAGCTACACTCCTAGCCTAACACTAGGTGACTTTTGAAATGTCACCTTCTAATATTCTAGTCAGTGGGAGAAAATAAACAAATGGTAATAGAACAGCTGCCTAACTATTTGGGAGCAAGTAACAAAACATTCCTACTTTCACCTTAAACAAACATATTTCGGTAAATGTAAAGACAGGGGGAAGAGAGAGACAGAAACAAAGAGGAAGGAGGGAGAGAGAGAAAGACAGAGGGAGGGAGGAAGAGAACGAGCTCTGAGAGAGAGGGAAACTAAGTATAAAAGTATTAGGAGAAAACACAGGCAGTACTTTTATAGTTTTGTGGTAGAAAAGAGCTTAGTAGGCCTGATGCCATGGGCAGGAACCTTTGGTAGATTTTGCCTCTGATGCCATAGCAATCTTAGCATTTATAGACAGGACAAAGAGTTTTCCACAGATCCTCACAAAAATCCTGTGAGGAAGAGCTCATTGATCCTGCTTTACCAATGAAGGAGATCATTTAAGGGTCCAGTGGCAAAACTGAAGGTAAAAAAAAAAAACTCCAATTTCTCTGACTGTAAATTCATTCTCTTAACATTCTCCAGGGGAGGTTTTATGGTTGCATTTGTTTTTGGTTTTGTTTTCGTACTGGGGTTTGAATTCAGGGTCTCACACTTGCCAGGCTAATGCCTAGTATTTGAGATAGGGTCTCAGGTTTTTGCCAGGGCCAGCCTGGGACCATGGTCCTCCAGTCCCTCTGAGTAGCTGGGATTACAGGCATGAATTGCCATGCCCTGCCCTGAGTTTTAATCACATAAATATTATACATCTTTGGTTAAGTTTATTCTGTGGGACTTTCTACATCTTTATTGCTAGTGTAAATGGGATCTTTCTTCCATTTTTCCAATTCATATAGGTACACAGGAAAGGTATTGAGGTGTGTGGGCTGATCTCTTTATTTTGTACTTAGCCAACTTGGTGAATTCTCATTACTTCCAGTAAAAGTTTAGTTAATTCTCTTGGGCTTTTGGGTTGTCCATCATTTCACATCCAAATAGTAATATTTTGTCCTTTCCTTTCTAGTGCTTATACCACATTTATTTTCCTTATTGCATTGACTGGGACCTCCTCAACAGCAGTGTCTCCAAGCAATAATAAGAAACATTTTACTCTTTATTTTTGATTTTGAAACAACACTGTTGTTTTGGTTTCTGGTAGATTTTTTTTTTTTATTTATTCATATGTGCATATGTTGTTTGGGCACTTCTCTCCCCTGCCCCCCACCCCTTTCTCCACCCCCTCCCTCTCCCCCCCCCCTCCTTGCTTCCAGGCAGAACCTGTTCTGCCCTCTTCTCCAACTTTGTTGAAGACAAGACATAAGCAACAGTAAGAAAGACATAGCATTTTTACCAGTTTGACATCAGGATAGCTATACAGAGAGATTCCTAGCATTGCTTCTATGCACATGTGTATTACAACCCAGATTGATTCATCTCTATGAGACCTCTTCACCACTTCCAGGTCCCCTCGCACAGTGACCTCTGTCGTTTTAAGGTGACTATTAGATACGTATATTTTAATCAAGTTAAGGATGCTTCCTTTTTCTATTTGAAGGTCTGTTAGGAATTATCCGCTGAATTTCATCTAAAACAGTCAATACAATGTATTAAGTGCCAGCTGCATGCAAGATCCTAAGTTAGGTACTGTGGAAGAGAAGAACTATTAACAGAGTAGAATTCCTGTGTTCAGAAAAGTTATCTCACTGGGTAAATAAGACCTAAATACAAGGACTGGATAAAGATTTGAAGATAGTGTTCACTGTGGTGGATAATCATGATTGTGCTTTCTTCCAAAAACAGATTTATTCCCACAGACGAACAACAGAGGATGATAGAGAAGGCTCCTCAAGGTAATATAGGTCTTTTTATGAGGGTCTGAGAACGAGGGGAGAACTTAGAACTCATCTCTTTAGATCCCCTGGTCTAACAAGGAGGAAACTGCCAGAGGTGTAAAGTATACATATTTCCCATAGGGTTTTGATGGGCTCCAGCAAAAGCTGTTCCCTAGCCAAGGCGAGATAGCCAGGACTTTGCTGTAATTAGTCCCTCAAGCATAGAGGGTGAAGAGTAAGAGGTTTGGGCTGTGCCTGCTCCTGCTGCTGGTGGGCATCAGGCCCAAGAAGAGGCCTTCTAGGGAACTGGGTTAGGAAGCCCCAGGATGTTAGGACACAGGGCTGGTGACAGATAAGTGGTGGGAAAACTTGACCTTCTCAATCCTACTGGTTACCTTCTCATCTCTACTCTCTCTTTTATCCAAACCTCATAGAGTTTTACGCTAGGAGAAACAGTAGTTTGTCTCTTCCTTTTATAGTAAGGAAATGGAGAAGGAGAAAGAGGAAATACCTTATCCAGGTCCACTCCTACGTATGAGTTATCAGGAAGATGAGGCTCCTTTCGAAGCCCTGACACTTTCTCCATTGATTACACTTGTGGTTGGGCTGTGATTACATTATTATATCATGAATCAGTACTTATATGCCATGAAGACAACCATAGTCTCTGGAATGATTTTACACTCTGACTTTTCCATATTCTGTTTGTATTCAGAAAAGATACGTTGTGTGTTTTAGTGCCTAGGTCATGGCGTTTAAACTGATTTCATGCCACAGTTTTTAGTGACAGCCTGCAGTAGAAAAATCTTTTGAGCTAGATAACTTCATTGCTCGGACTCAGACATTTGCTTGGGCTTGGTGTGACTCAAAACTTATGGTTAAAGCGGCTAGGAAAAACAAAAGCACCTTCTCCCTGCACTCCTCACCCCAACCCAGTGAGCAAATGATGCATGAGAGACCAAAGTGGCAGGGGACTGATATGAAAGACTTGAGAGCGGAAATGCTGCTTCCCAGTACTGGTTGTGCAGTTGTTCACTGCACACGCGGTACTTAGCAGAGGAGAAAAGTGGAACATTGATGACTCCTGCCTTAGCCTGCATGCAAGCCACACCACAAAGGTCTCCCCAGGACATCTTGTGGGGCTCTTGCGGACAGGCATGGACAGCTGCTGGAAAGCCCTGCATGCCATGGAATTGTTTTCAAGCCCCCAGGTCTGGCGGACTTTGCTTCATTGTGATTATGGACCAAAGCACAAGTTTTTGTCTTAGTAAGACCTGAGATGTACATCATAAGAGACTTGTAAAACAGCATGAATCACTAACTGTCTTGTGCATGTGTTTTCATCCAACGGGCTTTTTCGCATTTCTGCGCAGCGAGATACCCCAACAGAAAGTGAGAGTCAGGCAAGTTTGAGAGGACTTGGGTTGTGTTGGAAAAGGGAGGGGAAAGCAGAATTAATATCTCCCCTTCTCTTTTCTAGGAGCTTCCTTTGCTTAAGGCAGCCACTCTGGCTTAGGATATGTACAGACCTCTCAGTGCCACCCGGAAGAAAAATTATGGCCAAGAAGCTACATGACAAGGACTCTGCTGATTGAGGATGAGATTTTCAATAAAGATGCAGGGTAAATGGCTAAGGCGGTGATTTAAAGATTCCTGTCTAACATGGGAGTAAGAACATTTGGACTCTTTAGAAGTAAAAGCTTTGCTTGTTTCTTCTCCTAGGGAGCTCACTGAAGTCATCGTAGGACAGTTCTGATCTTCAGAAAAAAGCTTGAATGATTCTCCCAGTGAGCATCAGCTTCGAAGTCGAAGAAGAAAAGGGCTTGCATTATTCTCCAGGACTCCAGGAAGTCGGTCATAACATTCCAAGCACAGGTAGATTCAGCCCTGAGGGTGAGAAGAGGGAACTGGCTGAGTGCTCTCCACTCAGCCCATACAGTGATGCCCATCCCGCCTCAAAACTGGCAAATTTTTGTTTGACACTGCTTGTCAAACTTCATTATTCTCATTAAAATGTGTAAAATTTCTAACTCATTCTATCCATGTAGTAAGAAATTAAAACCTAAAGAGTTAAATAATGTATGTGCAAATAACAAGACACAGCAGGAAAAACTAGAACTGCATGCTGGACTCCTTTGTGGCAGTCACGCTTCTGGAAAAAGCAGTGTAGACAGAGAAGAGAGCTTCCTGCCTTAGCTCCCCCAGTTTAATCATCCTCGGGGAATCAGAAAACACATCTTACAACGGATGCGAGCTTTTAAGTCAAATCCCAGTTGTTCTCTTGCCCTTTCCTCTGTTCATCAAAGAACCAGTCATTTCCGAGGTGTCTGCCCCTGCCGCCCTGGAGACCATACACCTTGTAGAACTTCTCACTGGTGTCTGCGGGACCTAGAATATCTAGACTCACGTGAGCCTACGCACTGTTGGGCCAGTCTTGTGGGTTTTTTTCCCAAGCCCTCAAACGTATCTACATGAGTATGTAGCCTGTCTTAGAAGTGTCTCCACTTTGACAAATGGGTTAGAAAATTGACCAGTTTGTTTTTCTTTTAAAACTATTGACCCTGCCACGGCCACCCATACAGGCTCACTCCTGTAATCCTAGCTACTAGGAGGCAGACAGAGATCAGGAGGATTTCGATTTGAAGCCAACCCAAGCAAATAGTTCAAGAGATCCTATCTCGAAAAAACCCTTCACACACACACACACACAAAGAGCTAGTGGAATGGCTGAAGGTGAAGGCCCAGGACTGCACCAAAACACAATTGACCCTTGGACAATTGTAGAGAGGTACCAGAGGGATAGTGTAAGAATGTGCAGGATAATTTCCCAAGACTGCCCTCCCTAGCCTTTATTTCCAAAAATAAACTGGTGGGGCTACTTCTCCATTCACATGGGCTCCACAGCCTCTCCTAACCTCACTGAGGGTTGCACATTTGCTGCTCAGCTCCTTCCAGTTCTGCCCTGCTCCAAATCTATCTGCTTCCTGCCTTGTCCAATGGGCATCGGTAGCTACATGATTGCAAGTAGCTATTTACAAAGGACACAAGGGGTCCTTCACTCCATGCTCAAAAACAGTTATTAATAAATCATGTTGAGAATGTATTAAACACATTTGTGAGTAAAAGAAAATCAGAATAAACAAGAATAATCCACCTACTGAACACAAGAAAATGATGGCATTCTAGTAATATGAGATGAAACGGTGCCAGCCACAAATGGATGAACAGCCCCAGGTCTCCTGGAGGAGCAGTGTGCCTGGAAAGCAGCTCAGTGGGTTTTGCTGGTTAGGGTTCCAAGCAGTTAGTGGCCTGTCAGTTCCTCATCTGGCTGATAAGTTAGCTAATTCTGGGCAGGAGATCCCTGTTATCTTGATGCTTCCCAAAGTTCCTTCCTAAAAATGAAAACCAGTGTTTCTCCTTCTATGGTGACAAGTGAGCCAAAAAATATTTACTGAATTTAGAGCACAAGACTAAATAGTAATCACAACAGGAAGCACCAACAACTACCACTTAAAATCAGCTTACTTGGTGCCAGGCCCTGGGTTAGGCATTTCACAGTCTTTCATCATTTAGCAACTTTTTTTTTTTTTTTGCATTATTTTTTTATTTTGTGAGCTCAGGGCTTCATGCTCACAAAGCAGGCGCTCTACTGCTTGAGCCACTCCAGTCCATTTTGCTGTAATTATTTTGGAGCACTGTTTGCCTGGGCTGGCTCAATCTGTGATCCTCCCAATCTTAGCCTCCCAAGTGGCTAGGATTACAGGCATGAGCCACTAGTACCTGGATAGAGGTGTTTCCCTAATAAAAGTATTGAACAAAAAGACAGGAGCTAATAAGAAAGGTACTTCGGGCTTCCCAAAGTGTGACACAGGACTCCAAGAAGCTTTATTTTGGCATATTTGCATTATTTTAAATTTGACACAAAAAGTGAAGTTCTTTTTTTATGTAAACTATCTCAAATTTGTACAATTAAATTGTACAATTAATTAAAACTCACAAGCATTATATTCTACATTGTCCAGCTGGTCCTAGATGGGGCAGAATTTCTGCCCCAATCCAGACTTTCTGCCCGGCCAGCCTGTGGCCAGCTGTCTGTCCTCAAGCCAGGCACACACCCCTGGCTGTAATCTGGAAGAAGAATGGTGTCTTGGGTTGGGTGGCACAGAACATGACTGTCTCCATCTTACTGATGGGCAAACTATAGCTCAGAAGACCAGCTCTTAGCTGAGACCTGAGTGAAAGAAGTGGACACCAGACCAATGCCACTACAAGAAAACTCTCAGTGATCCCAGCGAAACCTGTCAGAGAAATGAGACATTTTTAACAAGATGATGAAATGAGGCAAAATATAATTAGGGCAAAAATGCTGCAGACCAGAGATATGTCAGTTCAGTGAAGGAAAAGTTAGGTGGCCTAGGGAGAGTCCAAAAAGGGATGGAACTTAAGCTGGGTATGGGTTACATGCAAGATGCTGTGACGGTGCTGGGGAAAGAATTGACTAGGACAGAGTCCCTTTTCTCAGGGGGCTCCTAGGCTGGGAGGATGTACAGACATCTCAATCCACACTGAGAAGACAGTGTATTGGATGAGACCATGGCTGCTTATCAAGATGTGGTCCAACTCTGGGTTTGCTGGAATAGAGCAGATACTAGGGATGAAGAGAAAAGGAATAAAGTTGATTCCTGACAATAAAGATTTCCTTTCTGACAACAGGAAAGACAGGCATCTAGACAGTGGACAGTACAATGGCAAGGAAGCACAAATCCTTGAGGGAGGCCTGCATGTGGGCAGTCTGATGTTCTGGAGCATGACATGCAAGCGTGCAAGGAGTAAAAGGCATAAATGCTACACACTGCATAGGGGCCAGGGACCCTGATCCCAAAGGCACAGGAACCAGAGGTTGAACTACTGATGGGTTACAAAGTGAGAAGACATGATCAAGTTTGGAATTTAGTCCTTTGATGGTGGCCTAAAAGTAGAGGGAGAGCAGGAGGTTACGGGGAATTTACAGGGAAATC